AATCTTTGGTACAGTGTGCGCTAATCTACCAATTAGTAGCTCTAACTACAAAATCTACGCTTACAATAATTTCCAGTATTCTGTTATATGCAATTTTTTCACAAATGTATTTCAAAAACATACGTATAAATTTTCTAAAGTACTACTTATAGAAAGTAACTTCTTTTAACTGTTCCAGCTCAAATCAGGTTCAGGATTTTCACAATCACCCTGCTGCTGGTATTATGTAACCCATAACTAACATCCCTATGCCCTTTTACCTTGTAGGGATTGCTTTTTTTAGACAAATACTAGAAGATATAAACTAAGATTTTAAATATCTTTGTTGTTCTTGGTGGTGTAAATGCTAGAGATGGCCATATATTAACTGCACCCTGCTAATGTCATTTTTAAGGCATCCTCGGAAAATACTAAGAGTAATCAAAGTAATTCTGTTAACCAGCTTTATTTCATCTGTTAGACCGATAGAAAACAATGTTACTGTGTTACAATGTTTTCTGCTTAGGATAAAGAATGCTGGATCTTCTTGACTGTACTCAGATTTTTGCAGGCGGCTCCTCAATAAAAGTTATGCAGCTATTATCTCTGGTTATATCTTGTTAAAACTCTTATATCCTGTTATCTCCTAATGAGGGAACATCTTTTAAACTCAGTATAATGGCTAATGAGGCCGGCTTGTAGTAAGTTTTCCCGAACTCTGTAGTAATTCTTAAAAAGGCTGAATTAATTAGTAGCAATAAATTATCACAGCAACAGCAGTGTCATGTTGCACATTGATGATGTCGCTGTTATTGCTTTCGGTGTGCATTGCCGAGGCCACATAACAATCATTATATTAGATCTATTAGATTAATTAGCAGGACTGATTCAACTGTATATCTTATTGTTTGGGATGCCGTTGCTTTATCAATAAATGAGACAATTTCTCTTTTAAAATTTTACCATAAAAATAAAAAAAACTACAAACGCCATCTAACTGTTTTAATTTTCTTTTTAAAATATTTGTCGTCTTTCGAGAAACTTTCAATTGAATTGTACCTCTTGCAAAATTAATCTTTTTTTTTCACTCACTTTGAGACTAACTATATTTTCACTGTTACTACTTCAGATTTTTGTATTGATGGGTGCTATTCTTTGAATCGCAACGACTCTAATAGTCAGATGTTTGGTTTTTAGTATAATTACGCATCAATCGTCATTAACAATTGTAGTTCTAACATTCCTTCTCTGTTTTATGAGATTTTTCTTTTATTATTTCCCTCAAGAACTAGGCGAAACGGTTTGCAAAGATGTTCTCTTCTAGTTAGACTATTAATTCTTATGGACATTATCTTCCTTCTATTTTAATTCAACAAATTAGACATTTAAATTACTCCAGTTTCTGTTGCTAAAGTCATATCTCAAATAAATTCTTTAACGGAATGGTCTAGACAAATATTCCTTTCATATTCTTACAAAAGTGTTTGGTAAAATGCTCTTTAATTTTCTGTTAAATATTTAATATGTGTTTGACTGAATCTTCTTTTCCTGCCTTTTAGAAAAAAGCATCTATGGTTCCAATTTTCAAAAACTATGACCCCTCCAACTATATTCTAATTCTTTGATTAACTAATTACTTTTCTTAGATCAAATAGCTAAACAGAAAATCAATACAGTTTTCAATCTTCTCATTATAAGGCTGACTTGCAACTGAAACATGTGACTGAAACATTTTGTCTTGTATTAGATGGATGATCTAATTAAATTCCTATTGCTCTTGATATATCAAATAATTTTGATAAAGATTGGCATTCTGAACTTCCCCGAAATATTTTGAATCAAAAATCAAAACTTCATATTGTCTATTTAGTAATATTTGTGAGATTATCATATCGTTTCTTTCCAACTGCTTTATTTAGGTCATCTTTAAAAATCAACACTCTTCTTTTTTTCCAGTAACTTCTGGAATACCTTAGGATTTTATATTTGATCTTTTTTTGTTTTTAATTTACAATAATGATTTTCCTGACAACCTTTTATCTAAAGTCGATTTATTAATGGATGACTCAAGTTTATATTAATGTCGTAGCAATTGAATTTACATTTTTTTCTTGAGAATTCTTTATCGACAAATTTTATGTTTAAATTTTGCTAATTTCTTGAGATATTATATAATATTTCTCAATTAATACCCTTTTGTTGGCACGCTAACACAAATTCAAGTTGCAATCTCTTTTAGTTAAGTTATTTGGCGTTGTTTGTGGTGTTGGGTTGCGTATTAATATCTTTTAAATTCACCGAAACCAATTCGAGTAGTAAGGGAAATAATATTGGAAATAAAGTAGAAACTGTTTATTTTATTTTGCGTACATATTGTACAAATGTGAGATTTAGTTAATGCAGTGATTGTTTGTTGACAAGTGCATAAACGTGAACTAAAACGTTATAAAATAGTATAGTATTTAGCCACGTTGGTAAATGATGTTTACGTTTTAATGGCTACACCCATGTAAACAATCTAGTGTTTTCATGGGTACAGCCAGTACAGGTGGAATTTTAGTGTACTTATTTAGGCATTTTTAGCGTACCGCTGAAATTTTGCTCATAGGTTTCTTAGTAGACGATTACCGGTCCATTCAGGAAAAAGACTCCAATGAACTGCTACAAATGTCTGCATAGGCCCAATGCAAATCGAATAAAACAATGTTTGTTGGGAAGTAATTACTAACGGTTCTGTAATTATAAGTAAATGCTAAGAGAGGTTAACTTGATATAAATAATATTTAGTATAAAAAATAGAGAATGAGTTTAAATTTTCAAACTTCATTTATAAAATAAAAGTGCCATAATGCAAAGCATGTAGATTTCTGCAAGCGGTTAGATATATAATTTAGTGAAAGTATTTCGTTATATTTGATAAGCACAAATATGTATTATTTTATGTTCTGAAGATTCTCTAAATTCTCTAAAAAGAAAAAAAAGTTCTTTATTTCTTGAAAAATAAAAATCATTATGAAATGTCAAACACTAGCAGAAGGACAAAATGTACGTTGTACTGGATTACAGGTTACTAGTAGCAGGGTAATCGTGATGACAATTATAATACTTGAAGATTTGTTTGTACATCTAAATCCAGTAAACATTATTTTAATAGATTTTGAGGAAACCTATATAAACAATTTTGAGCTATTCATTTGAGTTTTCCTCATCGGTTACCTAATGGATCTTTAGTGGCAGCCGTTTCGAATGGCTACCCAATAATCTTTTTTGGCGGCTAAAACAAATCGCTCAAAATTGTCTTTATAGGTTCATTGGTATTCCACTATAGAATGTTTTTTGGGAAGTTACTTTGAAATTTGAAATTGCGAAACTGACATATTTATATAAAACATATGTGCTCTTAGTAATATGTCCAAAAGGAAAATTTAAAAAAAGTTCATATTTGTATTCAAGTCATTACCCAGCAATTAAAAAACGCTCGAATAACGTTCGAAGAACATTGCGAACATCCGAGCACGTTTTATGAACGTCTATAGAACGTTCCTTAACGTTTGCAACGTTTTTTAAACGTTTTGTGTTTGCTCGGTACACAGTGGGACAAAGTCGAGTTTTTTGTGCTAAAGTTATTTTCATACATATTTTTTATTAGAATAGCTATATTTATATATGAAATGCATAAATAAAGTAATAAACATGTAATTATATAAAAATAAAAAAAATTGAATTTTCGTAGAAAATCTGAAATATTTTTAATGGACAAGAAAACTTTTATCAGTGTAAACATCAAAAATATTACTTTTCAATTCATGAAAAGTAATATTTTCGATGTTTACACCAATTACAAAAATTATTTTGTCATAAAATAATTTTTATTATATTTATATTTACAGAACTTGTATATTATAACAATAATGAAAGATTTTCTAGGTATTCTGTGCGTACGAAACATCTTTTTTACATGTTCAGAATTTCTTATCAATTAACCATTAACCGAAGACCAATGTTTTGCTATAACTTTTTTTATTGCAAAATGTTGTTAGATATTTATGATGCATGGCTGTTTACATACATTTAGCATTAGATTTACATAATTAAGTGTTTGGAGAATATTGGATATTGGTTTATCTGATACCTAGTAGTAAAGGTTAGTAGCAAAAAAATATCAAAAGCTGTCTATTTTTGTTGCATAAAAACTAATGAATAGACTTACGTTAAATTGTGCTTAAAAGTTTGAGCGAAAAAAACATTTTTAATTAAAATAATATACTTTAAATGAAAGTCAATAAAGTTAATTTAAAACATTAATAGCTTTAAAAAGTTGATAAATAAATAATGCAGAATAGCGTTTTGGAACACATGTCAAATTAACGTGTAAATACCCGCATAAAATAACGCTAAATTAATATTTAATGTTTTTTTAACTAGATATTTCTCTAATGAAAATATCTTCACCATTATTACTAATTTTCACCGTGCAATGCTGAATTTGATTTTATGGTATTTTGCCACATTCTGTCCCACTGTGCATTAGTTGAAAAAAAAGACTTTCTTTACTAGACTGGAATGCAGTTCCCAGCAAACATTGTTTCAGTGAATTTGCAATGGAACTATATAGGTTCTTTATAACGGTCCACAGGAGTTTTTCTCATCGGGTACTGAGTGAACTATTAGTGGAGACCGCTATAAATAGTGAGCTGAAAACTTTTCGGTATATTAATAGTGGCTTTATGTAATTGGCTAGCCATTTTTGGTGGCAGAATACTGGTCCACTTAGTAATCGTTGAGCAAAACTACAGTTGCTTGCTCAAAATTTCTGAATAGGTCCGCTGAAAATCTGCTATATAATGTTTGCTGGGTATTTTCTGCTTTTACATAAAGAAAATATTTTACAGATGACCTTTAAACTCTAATTAATAAAACAAATACATAATAGAATTTAAATGCATGGACTTCAATATTGGCAACCTTAACTTTAGTTTTGATTTTAATAGAAAATTTAAAAACTGCTTTTTTAAAATTACCTTTTTCAATTAAAACTGAGAGCCTTTGCTGGATACCTTTGAATGCAGAATCTTTATCGTTATAAATCCAGTTTGAATGGGCTATGAACGACACATTAGAGTTTTTATTTTGAAGATTCTTATAAAAGAATACAGCTGAAAAGGTTACATACGAAGTTATCAAAAGAGTGTTCACCTACAATAAAAATGATAAATTATTATTGATACAATACTTAACATAACACTTAACTAAACAAAACATTTTATTTCCAAGATGCAAACAATGTAAATAATAACCATGAAAAATTTAAATAATTGATAAAGAACTTATAACACAAAGTAAGAATTTAAAGCTACATATTTAGCAAATAATATAGATTAAAATCTCACTAAAAATTATAGAAAAAGGCAAGCGCTATATTATTTGAATTACTTTAAGAAATTAGAAGTAAACAAACCTTACCATTTATTTCTTTTATTTGTTGTTTTTAATATATATTTGTTTTTAATTTAAGATAACTATAATACGACTGTTATAAAAGCATAAAACGCAAGTTTTTAATGAAAACACTTTGAATGATTAAATCAAACTTCTATTTTACATGATGTATTACAATAATAATATATTTCTCTATAACAATATTTATTGTTTATTTTTATATATTTTACGTTTATTTTTATATATTTTACATCAAAATTTTAAATTTTATTCAAATCCATAGGTGAGTTTAACTTTTTAAAACACACAAAAAAACTGAAGCAGGTATTTGCAACTTACCATCAGGTGAATCAGTTGGAAATAAATTTCAATCGCAAGTGAAATATGTGTTAAAAAAAAAAACCTGCTATTGAGGGGCTAAAAGTATTTTAAATAAACGTACAAAGTTGCTATGCTCCCGTAATTTAACGATTTGTTTTTTTAACTTTGGACGAAGATAGAAAGACAAAGAAACTTAATAATAATGGTAAAGATCTTTAGCAAAAAAAATATTAAAAAGCCTAGTTCAAATAATGGTTTGAACACAAACGAATCAGAGTTTACATTTTATTACGTTTTGTCGAAGCTACTTTTAATACAATATACACAGCTAGCACACATACACTGTTAAAACATTAGTACAACCTCGCACGTTTCGTTGGACCAACATTGGCTGCCAATTTTGTTTTTATATCATTTCAAATGCGACGTCGCCAACAACTAAAAACCGATGTTATGGTAAAATTTCTCAAAAAACACAATAAAACACAAATCTGCACCCTATACCACCAAAATTTTTGAAACTTGGCACAAATGTTTGTAGACATATGTTAGGAAAGATTGTAATTTTTTTTCATAAAATTCCTTACCGTTTATAATTTACAGCAATTTGAAGTTTCCTTGATTTTGACTAAAAACTGAGGGGGGAAAAGTGCCGAAAATCATTCCGTTTACTTTCACCTTAATATGGTGCATGTAGTGATGCCGTAATTCTGAAACTTTGTACCAAAAGAGTTTAAAACCTGTTAAATCCGAAAAATATAGTTTTTTATATGCCAAAACAAGGGAATGTAGCTTATTTCAAGATACATAAAATACACTTTATAACGCCAAGAAAAAAGGGCATGGGCAATTATAACTATAAAAAAAATCGGACTGATATAAAAAAAATATAATTTCGATTTTCTAAAAAATAAGATCAACACCTATTTTTCGAACCAATTTTGTTTTGGCCTTATATTTACTTGAGAAATTATTGATGTTTGATATAGACACAAAATTTTTTTAATATTTTTTAAATTAGACACTTAACACAACCCCACCTTTTACCAATCAATCAAATTAGAAACTAAAAGTTTAGTGACTTTATTGTCTTTTTCATTTTCGTGTGATACTTACAACAAAATTTAAATGTATATAAATTTTTTAAAAAAATACTAAACTTTAGTGATTTTATATATGCTTTACATTTACATTATTTACAAGTTGGTTCACAAAACATAATATTTAAAAAAAGAATGGATAAGATATAATAGACTCATAAATATAAAAATCTCTAATTCCTTAGAAAAATAATTTTTTTTAAGTCCTTTTTGACTAAATAGTACCAAAGTCCTGTTTTTGTTATCGGTACCTCAATTTTGCAAATAATGTGGACATCAGGAATCCAGCATAGACTTTCCTTTGGTACCCATTTAAACGACTGTGGAGGACCATTAGGACACACAAATTTTACAAGCACATCTTTTTCTTCTAAATTAATATCTTCAATGACTCCTATCCACCACTTTTGCTCATAGGAAACACAGGCATAATCACCTGGTACTAGGTTTACAGTTATTATCTGGATATTTCCAAAGTTATTTCCAAATTAAAGCAAATTCTTCATCAACACTGCATAGCTTAGTGCCTACCTAAACAAAATAGTAACATATGCAATTACTCCGTTTTACTTATTAAACATGTTTTATTTAATGCATAGATAGCAAATGCAGAGGAAATAAAACAAAATACAAATATTTTTGATAATGATTCTGCAAAAATCTGATATCTATTTGAGTTTATCAATAAAAGTTATGCGTGTATTTTAAAATATGGTAAAGGGTATAATTAAAAAATAATAATTTACCTTTTGATGGCTAGGTGGTACAAACTGATGGTAACTACGTGTTCCAGGTATTGTATTAGCAGTATCCAATCGTTCTTTAAGAGCGGTTCTTACCAAAGTTAAATCTTCTGATAAAATATATATGAAATTTATGCCTTCAATGTTTTCATTGCAATATTTACACATTGTTTGTGGAGATAAAATATGATTACCCATAACTCTTTGCAAACTTGCAAGTGTTGCCAGACGTTTGACTGTACCACCTATCCCATCACAAGGTTGCTTACCGTGACTAGTTGCAAAAAAGCTCCATTAAGCAGTAAAACCGAAATCTTCACAATGGAAACAAAGATTCAACATATTTTTGCAATTCTTATATTGATCTGCACACCCATCTGAAAAGTATTCAATATTTTTTATTTGAGGCAAATTTATTTTTATATCATTGCAAACAACCTTAATAATTTTATAAACCATGTTAACATCATGGATCATATCATCCGAAATAATACAACAGGATTTGTGCTTGAGAATGCCTTCTTTTTTGAAATAAATAATCACTGAATGAAGTGTACATTGTAAATTTGTCCAATGAAAGCTTTGCAATTCATCCTAAACTGCAAATTTATAGTTTTCTGAAAAATCACTGAGAAATAATTCTGTTACCTCATTCATATCTTTCTTTCTTGATCTCAGGTATAATGCTTATAATATAAATAATTATAAATACAAATGTGGTGCAAGTTTTTCCAGTTTTCTACATACTAGTTCAATGTATTCAAATACTGGCTCTTTATTATGTGTCAGGTTTAGTCATATCACAGACAATATAAGATAACAATTCTTTGTATGTCACACCGAGAGGATGTAAAAGCAGTTTCAAATTCTGATGAATAGCACAGACGCATACTGAATGTGTTCCTGAGGCACCAACAGTAATACACCATTTAGGTCGCAAGGTGCAAAACCTTGAAAATCCTATCCTTCTGCAGTATGCATTTTAATCACACGTAGAGATGCTTAAAAAGAAAGAAATTACATTACTTAAATAACATTAATTATATATATTATGTAATTATATTACTATATAATTTGTTATATTAGTAACTATGAAACATTGAACAAGTCTTATTACCAAAAAAACTTATATGACTTATTAATAATGATATTACTTAATGAAATACAAATATATAAATTTTTACCTCTACACACCTTTTGGTGACTCAAAAAAGGATTACAGCAACTTTTCTGATTACTCTCATATCTTACAACTAACATATCATGATGATGTGTGCATATATTAGTAATTTTTTCTTGTTTCAGATTTGTTCGTTTTTCAAGTAGCTTACGATCATTGCTGTCAATATCTTCAATCAGATTTCTTTCTTGAATATATGATTGTTTAAAACAAGCTTCATAATTATTTACAAAGCAGCAATTAACTTTGTTATCCATATAAAAATATAATGAGAAATCTTTATTTAAACACTTAATACAAAAAATCTTAAATAATTTTAATGTCCCTAACAAGAAAAGTACACTTGAACACAAACAATATCATATCAATGTGTATTTATAAAGAACATATTGCTTGAACAAGTAGCTATTAGTTTAATAGACATATTTTAAATGCCTAATTATCTACTAATTATTATAAAATCACCATTAACTACTTACAAAAAGTTGTGTAAAAGTAAAAGATATTTAAATATAGTTTTATTGTTAATTAGACATTATTATATCATTTTAGTACTTTTTTTATTGATGATATTGTTTTATTACAACAAAACAATCAACAACAAAAGTTACATAATATTGTTAAATTTAACGAGATTATATCATGTAATGAAAATGACATTATTATTATGTAATAAAAGTAAAAGAAACAAATTTATAAAATGTTCAACTATGTTTTGTAATAATTTTGTAAATTTTTTACAAAGCTATTACAAAACAAAAATAATTTTATTTGTATTCAAAATATATTTGCAAATTTTTTTTTTTTTTTGCAAAATATCTTTAGAAAAATTGAAAAACTAAAACATCAATAACTCCTTGATAAAACATAAGGCCAAATAAAAATTGGTTCGCAAAGTAGATAAATGTTAATTATTTTAAATAACGAAAACCATTTTTTTTTTCATCGGTCAGATTTTTTCTAGAACTTTTTATTGTCATTAACAAGTGCGTTTTGCGGATCTAAAAATAAACTATATTTTATTGTTTTGAGAGATATAAGTTTATGATTTTCAGATTAAGCAGGTTTTAAACTCCTTTGGTACCAAGTTTTAGCTTTGCAACATTGCTACAAGTTTGTTAAGAGGGTAATGGTAAATTAACATAATTCTGGCTTTATCCCTCCTTTTTTTCAGTCAAAAAATAACTAACTTCAAGTTGCTGTAAATCTTAAGGGTTGAGAATTTTTTGAAAAAATTTTACAGTCTTTCCTAACTTATATCTTTAAACATTTGTGACAAATTTCAGCGAAGTTGGTGATGCAGGGTGCATACCCTTGTTTATTTAAAGTCGGAAAATGGCTATATTTTCTACGTTGATTAAACGTTTTATTTCATACGTTGGCCCAACGTTGTATTTACGTTGATTCAACTTT